GACCAAGGCACAAGAATTGGAGTCCAAACTGCCACCTGAACATTTGAAATATCTGTTATTGGGAGGATAGGAGACTTTTCTGGTGATAAGTTCTAACGAACTAAGTAGGCTAGAAGAAGATAAATTGATTAGAGTGCTTAAAAATTAATAATATCTAGCCTAGGAAGTTAAATAAGGGTGCTCAATGGGAAGTAACCTATTTATTTTTCTCTTTCTTTATTTTCTTTCGAATTTATTAGCATTAGTGATTTTAATTTATTTACAGCATTTTTCTCTAAGTTAACATGAGTTCTATGGTGATTAAAGTACACGAATAGGAATTCGGGTGATAAAACTAAAAAGGAAGCCAACTTTTGAACGACCGAACAAGCTTTACCCAAGGCTAATGTCAAGCTCATAAAGCATGGCCATTTGCTATCAATCGACCACTTTTGTATAGGAGGCACAAGTGTGTGTTCTCCTGACACAGCTCTGTGATGGCAACATACATGCCTTGCCCATAAGGCATGGCTATGCGGTATCATCATGACATTTTTGCAAGGGAAGCACGATCTTGTTCATGGGAGGCACGACTATGTGTCATTCCCCACATAAGCCTTGCCCAAGGCTTATATTACCCGACGCCCATTTTAACCTTTTAAAACCAAAACCCTAACAACCCCCTCATCACTTTTAGTGGAGCCACCCCCTCTTTCCTTGACGTAGCTTCTAACCCAAACCGGGCACACATCAGCACACACAACCGATGACCCCCAGGGGAGTCTTCTTACCCTTCTCTTTTGATTTTTATTTTCTTTTCTTTTTATTGTTTATTCTTATTTATTTCTTATTCTATTTTATGCAGTGCATACTATTTATCTTGTATCACATTTGAGACAATGTGTAGTTTAAGTATGGGGGAAAGGCATTTTGCATCTTAGGTTGCTAGTTTTTCTTTTTAACATTCATCCTGGGTAATTTTTATCACACCACACTTGCACTTCCAAACAATTTTTGACTCCAAACTTCACAACATTTCCTATTATTTTTAAACAACTCAAATGGAGCATTTCAAAAATCAATTTGCACTTATAACCATCTCCTAGAAATTGTAGTTTGTTTTTCATTTTTTTACACCTGAAATAGTTATCTTTGGTTATGTATTTTAAGCATTACGTGCTTGAGGATTGCTTATTCAAAATTGAATTGTTCTAATATTTGAGTGATACCAATGTCTATAAAAGAACTCTATAGCAACTTATTTGTATTTTACATGTTTAAAATTCTATGGTTCAAGCCTAGTACTTGAAAAAAAAAAAAGCAAGCATAATAATCTATTCCTCTAGTCACTCGAAATGAACACTAATTAAATAACTGGGGCCATTCATCACAAATGTTTGTACTCAGGTCAAAAAGTTAATGATATCTCGAAACACTATGAGTAGTGTTAGTAGCAACTTGAAACTGTGACCAACTGAGTAACCAAGGCCATTCATTATAAATATTTGTGCTTGCATCAAAAGGTTGGTGACATTTCAAGTAAGCAATAAGTGCTCAAGTTTTTTTACTAATAGCCTTTATATTTTCTACATGAACCAATTGCATGAAACCTCTATATCGAGACAAGTTCAATAGTTGTTCTAGTATGTATTGGTTGTTCCTCTTGACTTATTTTCATAATGAAAATTGAAAAACACTCTCAAGTTGTATTTGGGTACTAGTCAAATTAACCATTCATTAGTGTGGGTCCATGGAGCTCAAACCTACAAATTATTAGTGATTGTTATTTTCGCAATTCGAAGGTTGAGATATGACATACGAGTTGTGGCAAAATGATTGCGATTGGTTAGAGGTGAGGAGATGAGAATTTATGGTGTGTATTGTGCGGTGCTTGAGAGTAAGCACAAGATAAGTATGGGGGAGTTTGATAGAGCCTTAAAATGACATCTTTATCATCCACTTTTGGGTTGTTAAACTTGATGCTATATTATTTAATCCAAGATATTTTTATATTTTATTACAGGATAGGATATGAGAACGAAACGAGAAAAAACAATATGAAAAGAGGAAGAGTTAGTGAAGAGAGTCATCAACCCATAAACAAGCCTTGGACAAGGCTTGGTTCCAACAGATAGACAACTTAGCCTTGGGCAAGGCTAAAAGTCGCGCACAGTAGTAGATTTAAATTAAAACATACAATTTTCAAATCTAAAAAAATATATCATTCCAGTCAAGATCTGGGGTTGAAAAATATTATGAAAATCTTGGGATAAGCCAAAAATCAAGGAAAAGAATCCTAATCAACAAAAGAAAAAAAATCCAAACCCCTTTTCTATAAAGATGGTGGCTGCCAAGCAGGTTGATGATCATATTCTTCTTCCCGACACCGCATAGAGCTTTAGTGGTAGATTCCGCACTCTCCTTT